CCCCCCCCCGCCCCCGGCGAGGCAGGCAGGGCCCCCACGGACCCACAGCTCCCTCAACCTCCCCTGCTCTGCCAGCCCCAGGCCAGCCAACGGCAAACGTTTGGGTCACGTGGGGCTGCTTTTCTACAAGAACTGTCACTCAGCCGGGGTAACTCAACGCACAAGGGGACAGTAAGATTCGATTCTGGGACATTTTGCCGCCAAAGTGGAGAGACTGGCCGCCGAGTCCAAAGGCGGGAGCGCTCTTCAACCTTGGTGTCCAGGCCCAGTCATTATTCCACAGCCACATCTGCCCCGGTCCCGCTCCTTCCTCACTCCCCACCGAAGGGGAGCCGTGGGGGAGCGGGACAGGGAAAAGAAAAGAAAAACAGCACCTGAAAAGTATTTAACGTTCACATGAATGGCTGGACATCCCAGGGACACCATTATAAATGTAATCCTTATTTCATCCTATCACCAGACTCCGGAACACCTCAGCACAAACATCCCGTCTCCTACTCGAGAAAGAAAAATAAAGGCTCTCATCAGCCAAGAGCCCCCAGGTGACTTCTCCTCAGCGTTCAGTTCCCCGCGGCCACCACACCCTGACTTTCTAGACCCGGCTTCTCCCCAGGTTCTCGGGGCCGTCCGGCCTCCCTCTCCTGCCCCGAGGACCCCACAGTCCTCTCCCTGCCACCGGCCAACACACACCTCAGCAGGGATCTGTCTCCCTGGGGGAGTGGCTGAAGGGAGACACCACCAGTCATGTGTTGATAATCTCCGCCCGATGAGGCCGGTACTGGGAAAATGCTTATTGAAGGAATGGTTACCTGAAGCCACTTTATTCTTTTTCAAGAGCTGACAAGTTAAAAACATTATCATCCCGTTTTCAACAGCCTGGCCGTCTTCAACCTTTGCTCTTAGATTGCCTTTGAAATTCAAATCATCCCACCATTTAGGAACAATATTGCTTATAAACCTAAAATTTCAAGGATATCCAATCCATTCTTCGCTGAGGCAGGTAATTATCAGCATGCCTACTAGGTGCAGGGGACACAGGTGCAGAGCCAGAAGCTGTGGTGGCAGGGTGACAAGACAGCCTCCGCTAGCCATGGCTCCCCGGGACAGGCCCTTGCTCCGGGAAGGAACGAAGTCAGTAACGCGGGAGGACAGGTGTGTCCTCACCACTCAGGGACGTGCGTACAATCCCAGTCAACGGTCAGAAAGACAGCGGACACACAGAAAATAAGTGGGGGCACCGGCAGCAGAGCTCTCGAGTGAACTGCCCAGGGCGAACGCCACAAGGCCGTTTGCTGTCGCCAGCCTGTAGTATTAAGGCTCCGGGAAGTATTACGTACTGGGTAATGGCACCTTTGGATACACTGCCCGTGAAATTGCATTTCATCTCTATCTAATCTAAAGACACTCAAAAATAACCATCATAAAGAAAAACCCTGAGCCAGACTGTACGTCACGCTATTTTGCAAAGGACAAGAGATCGTCTTCCTACCTTCCACTCTCCCAAACATCTCCCGGTAACGTAAAACCACGTTTAGCTGCGCACACACTAGCAAATGCACCTGCTCGGCCCCTCCTCCAGTAGGTCTGAGTGCTGTTGACCATCACACGCATTTCAACAGAGTGGAACGCTGACCCTCCACAGCCGCCCGGGCAGTTTCCCGTCAGCCTCTGTCTCTAGCCCCATCTCCAACCTTCCACAAATCTAGCTCTTTGCCGATGTTTTTCATGCCTCCAGAAAGGCGTAATTACTGACGGGCTTTAAAAGTCAAGACTGCGGGGTCAGGCATTTCCAAAACTCCTGGGAAAGAAAACTCAACACAACATCCTCCCACCACAAAAAAACTCGTTTAAAATATAAACAAAATCAATCAAATATTCCATCCTGAGAAAAATCCAGAAAGCTAAGACTGGCACAAAGACTCTTTACTAGAGCTTCTTAAGAAAGGAGACTATATCAGTATCTCACGTGTACTTTATTTTCTTAAAAAAAAGCACAACTGTCCTCATTTTACTAGATGGAAAATACCTGCATACAATGAAAGTTCTTCTGAGTGTCTGATGTGACTAACACTCTAAACCAGGGCTCGGCACACTTTTACTGCAAAAGGCAGGTAGTGAGGACGCCCGGCTGCTGCAGCCACGCCTCTCTTTAGCACCAGCAAACAAGCCAAACTGTGTTCCCATAAAACTTTATGTACGAAGGCAGGTGCCAAATTTGGCCCGAGGGCTGGAGTTTGCCAACCCCGCTCTAATCAAGGAACCTGGTCACAGTCCTCAACCTCCACACCTGTGTTTTAGAGCTAAGCACCAACAAAAAAAACAAAATCAACATCTAGCAATAGAATAAAGCAGATACAGACCAACGGCACGACACTTTACAAGGAGGGAACGTTTACAATAATTTGCACATTGTCTGTTCTCTTACAAAATAAGAACACGAGCGTAAGGGCAGAGCTGTGTTCAAGAAGTGCGCACCTCATCGACGAAGATGTGGGTGAACTCCACCAAACTCTTAGTACTGACTATTTTCTGAAGCAGGACTCCCGTTGTCATATAAATTAACTTGGTGTCTTCTGTTGCTATCTTCTCTAACCCTACCTAAAAGCAGAGAAGGAAAAGAAAAAGGAGAAAACTTTCAGGTTTCAATGGTTCACATTTAACTACCAAGAAGGCTATGTCCACACTGGACCTCCATATTGGAGGTAAGTAAGGGAATAAAAACTAGAGGCTCTAAGTTAAAACTGTCATTCTCAGGCACCTGGGTAGCTCAGCCAGTTCAGCGTCTGACTCTTGATTTTGGCTCTGATCACGATCCACGGTTCGTGAGTTCGAGCCCCACACTGGGCTCTGTCCTGACAGTGCAGAGCCTGTTTGGGAGTTTGTCTCCCTCTCTCTCTCTCTCTCTCAAAATAAACATTAAAGAAAAAAAAACTTAAAAAAAAAAAAACCCATCATTCTCAAGATGATTTTTTTCCTTCTCTTTTTCAGGGGGTGGGGGGAATGTGGCTTATCTAGTCATACTGCCTGTACCATTTTTATGTTAAGACCATAGTGTATGAAGACATCTACGTACAAAGATAAAATCACAAAAACCATGAGTCTCAGAATTCTGGCTCCTTTCGTATTCAACCAAGAAAGAAATAGAAGTTCTAATCAAAAAATTCAGTTTCACTGCTTTTTAAACATTATTATTATTTTCTTTTTAGAGAGAACGCATGGGAGCAGGGGAGAGGGGCAGAGGGGGAGAGAGAGAGAAAGCGGAGCAGAGGGAGAGAGATAGAGAGCAGAGCCCGACCCGGGCTCAATCCCAGGATCACGACCAGAGTCAAAATCAAGAGTCAGCTGCTCAACTGACTGAGCCACCCCGGTGCCCCAAGTTTCACTGTTTTTTACATTACACCACAGGTCTGCCCTGTAAGCAACTGGTTTCATTTCAATTTCCAGCAGAAACCGTCGACTTCTACAGAATAAAACACTCACGAGGAAAGAGGTGGCTTGCTCCCGGCCTCACCTGATAGCCCACCAGACCACCGAGTGTCCAGGCGCGCTCTTTGCTGATCCACCTGGCGATGCTGGTGGCCCCTATCTTCCGGGGCTGGGTGACCACAATGTTGCAGTAGGCAGAGCGCTGAACGTAATGGTCCAGGATATACTGTGGCAGCTGAGTGCTTTTGCCACTACCCGTGGCACCGTGTATAATCACCACAGAATTACTTTCTATCAGAGAAATAACCTACAATTTAAGAAAAATTCTTTTGAGATTGCCACAAAGGTAACGATGACATACAGTATTATCTACGAACCGAAAACTTTACCTGGGGAGGATGTTCAGGACTTATTTTCCTTTCCTCTTTAAAAGTTAGATTATTACGTAACCATCTAACCGTCACAAAAGAGCACGAAGGCTGCAAATGGTTGCCACCCTGAAAACCACTCTGACTGCCGTGAACAGGAACAGCTCACGGCTCTGGAGAGCCAGGCCAAGGCAGCCACGGGGCCCCAGGGCTCAGTGTCTTTATGCAGAGATGAAAACACCAATTTCTAGAGCTCTCGCTAAGTTTAAATATCTAGTATTTTTAAATCTTGTAACGAACCTTACATAATTCTTCTGAGAAACACGAAAGCATTGCTGCCATCACCTCAAGTGGTTTTAACATTTCATTTGAAATTCCGCAGATACATTTTCAAATAATTAACTTCTACCGTTCCACTCCCAGACCGTACACAGCGTTTTTAAAACTCCAGTCCAATTCCTGCCCGCCACTCCCTGACTCCACCCTAAATTTAACTGAACTCTTCTCTCTCTAGCAATTGCTACGGTCAGGGAACACCATCTAATTTGAGTAGCGGCCCCCAAAATTAGAGTAGGTCTACTCTACAGAAGTTGCATGACTCACCAAAACAAAACAAAACAAAACTTAAATCTGGAACATTTGTGGTTTCGTTTTACCTGTAACTCATCCTCTACTAGTACATTAAATAAAGGTTTCAGTACGCTTATTTCTAACGTGGCTTAATAACAGGTGGCTAATTAAAAGCGTGATCATCTTGCTGCTATATGCGGCCCAGCACTGTCGATAACAAGATGTATCGGTGATTGATCAAATCAGTTAACAGGCCAGCGGAATGCTGGAGAGAACGGTGGCCAGGGGGCATTATTACTGTATAAAAACACTTGGCAGGGAGTTTTTTTCAAGCAGCAGCTCTCCTGGGGACAGGTGTTTACCGACAGCTATCTCAGAGGGAAGGCTGAACACATTAAAGCACAGCCCAAAGAAAGACCATCAGCACGGTCATCGCACAGCCGAGGCACAGGACCCTCCGGCCGCCCCACAGTCCGGCACACGCCACGGACGCTTGCCTGGCACCTCGTCACTTTCCAGCTGTAGACCAAAATGTTGGGCCTCAGACATTTATTTAAACAGCAAAATTACATCATGACAAAAATAATTTTACCTCGTCCTTACATCGATTTATAGGCAAATCAGGATATTTGTAAGTTGTCTCTGGGACGCATGCCACATTGCTTAATTTAGCCAAAGATGGCCTTGGACCTGTATTCAAAAAACAAAACAAAACAAAACAAAAAATACTATTACGTGTCTGGAAAAAAAAAACAGTAAACAACCCGAAGTTATGTCTAATCTATAAACCCAGCACGCACGTGTCCACAAATGCAGAAGTACATTCTGCAGGCTAACACCGCAAGCAGCGTAACTAGAAGATTCCCTCCGTACCCGCGATGAATCATTTATACGAGCTGGGCACACTCTTACACCTCCATCACAGCCATCATCGCGGTAGGCCTAGCACCACCTCCTAAGACAAAAGACCTACAAAGCACACGGTGAAAAAGTAACGTGAAAAGTAGTCAAAGGGAACCTCGTGTGGAATGGCATCAGGAGGCGCGCGTGCGCAGGGGAGCCCTCACGCCCACCACTCCCTGCCCACCACAGACCCACAGGAAGAGACGCACCTTGCTCAAGGATACGGTCTTACTCTCCCAGCAGGAAGAAGGAAGATTTCCTCCTCCCCCCGGCAACAGCCCAGCCAATGAGAGTCTGTCCCAGCTCAGCCACTGAGAAACCTCTATACTTCCAATTCCCAGTTTGCTCCGATGGACTTTTTGTTTACAACAGCCCCGCTCTTCCCCTCCCCCTGCCCTCCCAAAAGAGTCTCCTGTCCTTTGTTCTCAGGACTTGCTTTTGGTTTTTTGGTAGCTTGCTTGTCCCGGATTAAAATGGTCTGTTCTTCCCAGAGAAATCCCTCTCTCTGCCGGTAAAATAACTGGCAGTTTTCTTTTTAAGGTTAACAGTACTAAAATGGTTAAAGAACAGACGTGATTTGAACTTTCAGTAGAACGCACCGATTCATTAAGGGGTAGCTCCTTACTGCTGAAATGCACTGGTAAGCAGACGAGTGCCGCTCAGGAGCTCCAGGTGCCCTGAAAGGGCGGCCTGACTGCCCACGCAGAGGCCGACTGCGGCACTGACCACTAGCACCCCCTGTAAACAGCCTGTCCGGCCTCGGGTCATGACCTGACGAACCGACAGGCATCAAAATTCACAGGACGCAAGCTTTCATCGGGAAATAAACTTCTACTTCCGAAACAAACTCTTAAGGCTCCCGCCGCTTCAAATTTAGAGCTGGTCCCCTTCTTCGGCATCTGTCCCCCGATGCCCGTCTCCCCTTTGCCCCCCAGCCCCTCCTTTCTCTGCCCCAACGTCTCCTCATCCTGTGTTCTGCCACCGTCCTTTCTCACCTGATTCACGTGTTCGCAGTGTCATAACTAATCTAATAATAAATTAAAAAAATATATAGCTATTCTCCTGTATTTGAATCAAAGTGTGTAGCACTTGTTCTGAATTCACAAAACAGAGCGGTCAGACCTGTTACAATCTTTCGGGCGAAGGTCGCTTCTTTGTAGGCAGCAACGCTCTTCCTAGGGCGCCAGGGGCCATGGCCGAAGGAGGACTCCCCAAGCCCTGCCCTCAACAGCCCCAATCTTCCCGTCAGTGCACAGATGGCCACCGGACTCTCAAAAGTACATTCTCTCAAAGTACTCTCAAAAGTACATTCCGCACCTTCCTTCTGCTCTCCTGTCTTGCTTTCCTCCCATCACTCCTCTCAGCTTTTACATTTTTTTTTCTATGTTTACTTCTGAGAGACAGAGAGAGAGCGAGCAAGCATGCACACCAGCGGGGGAGAGGAGAGAGAAGGGGGTGGGGGACAGAGGATCCCAAGAGGGCCCCACGCTGACAGCGGAGAGCCTGACGCAGGGCTCAAACCCACGAACCCTGAGATCACGACCTGAGACAAAGTCAGACGCTCAGCCGACTGAGCCACCCAGGTGCCCTATCTCCTCTCAGCTTTTGAAGAACTCCATCACCAATGCCACCCTGCCTTCCCAGGTGGTACACCTACTCTTGGTCTCACCCCCTCCAGAAGCTCTCTTGACTAAGGAGTCCTTAGAAGTAATTAACCGCACTACCTGCCAAACACTGAGTTGGAGCAAAATTTAATGTCTGGAAAGGTCCTAATTTAAAAACGGCTCCAACAGTTCATTAAGTTATCTGGAATTCTGAATGGTGGCTGGGTATCCAGGCCAGCCCACAAATTAAGAACATAATGTTTACATAAATAGGCGAAAAATAAACACTTTCCCACGCGTGATGCCAGTAGGTTTATCAATCAGCAACAGGCCTTTTTTCACGTACTACAGGAGAGGGATGAGAGTCCACTCGGCAGCAGGGGCTCCACTGTAAGACGAGACGGAAGAGCAAGCAGTGGGAACAGAGGAAGAAGTGGGGAGTGAGAAGCGCGGGGGGACTCGGAAACACAGAAAGGCAGCAGCCATGTCGTTTGCCAAGCGACTTTAAGACGTGGTTCGCGGGACGCCTGGGTGGCTCAGTCGGTTAAGCGTCCGACTTCGGCTCAGGTCATGATCTCACAGTTGGTGAGTTCGAGCCCCGCGTCGGGCTCTGTGCTGACAGCTCAGAGCC